AGCAGTAGGGTCAAAAGATCTAAGATAGTTAGTAAGTAATATCCAACAAGCGCTCTACCTCTCCTCCAGTTTACAGGTGCCCAGAGACCAGCAGTACAAGCTACTGAGGCTGCTTCGAATATAAGGCAGCTTGTAATGAGTTGCAACGCACTCTGATGCAACTCGTGTTGCAAAGCAATATAACGAGCGAGCTGAGCCAGGCCCCGTTTTGATTCATGCACTGACACTGGATACAACATTAACAGCGCTTCCTTATCCCTCAACAGAAAGCCCTTCCTTATCCCTCAACAGAAAGCCTGCACACCAGCAAATATATATGGCCACATTCAGACAGATATATAAGTATAAGGCCACACTCATGCAGACAGACTAAGCTGCATAGACAGTGAACAGAGGGATATGTATAGAAATTAGCAAGAAGATAACACTATATTCGTTTTCTTTCCTATTGAACCCTTGGGCGTTTTTCTGTATTTGTTTTCTTACTACCCCTTTGCTAATCAACAAAGAAGGGAGAGTTTTTCATAAGCTAATAGTTCAGAGAACAGCAGCAGCCTCTTCGACTCTCCCTGCATACAGTATGAAGCCTTCCTTTGGATTGATTTGCAATGAAATGAACGCGAAATGAAGCATAAAAAAGGGAAATATGTAATAAAAAACAATTCTATTGATATTTTAATCGAAAATAATATTCTTTTTTCGCGAAAATGTCCGTGTGTAGCTACCAGAGGCTGGAGGAGAAGTGCAGGTTCGGTGCAACGGGGGTGGGTAGATGCAAGGAACAAATTCACTTCATTCTACCTCTTGATACAGGTATTTAAAGTATAAAATAGATTAATTTATGAATAAATAAATAAGATTTAATATTTTAAATGAATTAAAGCGATTAATCCGCAGAGAAATGCAGAAACATCGGTACCCACTATTCTATGAATCCCTCTATATACCCACACCTCGTCCATTGGTCTGTGTGCGGATGTTTGTTTAGCATTTGCTTCATGTTGTTCTGTGCACACATTTGATGAATTGTTTTCTTCTTTTCTTCGCTTTTTATAAAACAAGACTAACCACTCATCTGTGCGTGTTTACAGCAATATTAAAGCCATATTAACTCCTAAAAGCGAAGAGGGAGGGGAGAGAAGGGGTCGAGTTGAGGCTCGGCGAGGCATTCATCTTTTGTGTGTTTTGTTTGCAAACTGGGGGAGAAAAGTACTTTTTTTGCACTTGTTTAATAGGTTCATTCATATATTACATTTAGATCGAGACGAGGCTTGTTTCCTTCTTCTTCTATTCAGGAGTTGTCTTCTCTTATGCTTTGTCTTCGTGCCCCCTGCTAGTTCGTATCGGTTGCTGTTCGTCTGTGGAGGCTGACTGCATGTTTTTCTGCTGTCTTCTCCGTTCTTATTCTCTTTCTTATGAAAGAAACATTCAAATTCTTCTTTGTTTTTTTATTATCGAGTCTTCTGAAGCCGCTGTATCCATGTAGCTCCGTAAGAAGCTCTCAGCGACGCGTCTGCCGCCTGGCGGGAGTCAGCGGCTGCAGCTGTACATACATCTGTGTATAACATACGTATAAATATATATATAAATATATATTTATATATATGTTTAAGGAGGGACGTACATTCGTGTGCGTCTTGAACTTCTTTTTTCTGTTGAGTGCCGTGTGAGACAGAATCCCTTCATTAAGACAAGAGAGGCGCCTCTTCTCCTAGGGAGAAGTTGAGGAGGCGAGGCAGCTGCAGCAGAGTTCTCTGCAGCAGCAGCAGCAGCAGCAGCAAGATAATTCCTTTCAATTTGGTTTTGTTTGGCTTCCGTTTAAAACATTGCCCTGAGGTGAGCCCGCGTGCACGGGCGTCTGTCTGTCTGTCGTAAGTCTGTCTGTCTCTCTGTATGTTTGTTTATCTTTTTCGTTTGTTCGTTTTTTTGTGTTTGTTTGTTTGCTTGCTTGCTTGTTTTTTTGTTTTTTTGCCGAGGGTTGTGGGGTACCTCTCCAATAGACAGCACCGAAGAGTCGTGCCTCGTCCTTGGTCTTCTTCTTTTTTTTTCATCGTTTTCTTCGTTTTCATCTTTTTCGTCTTTTGTTTCTTCTTCTCCCTAGTGGTAAGGGAGATTGCCTTCTTCTTCTTTCATTTGCAGCATGCCGCTCGGCCTGCTGACAGAGGCGGAGGTGCAGCAGCCGCCACCGGAGTTCTTCTCTCTCCGTCAAGACGCAGCACCCCAAGCGGGGGGAAGGAAGGGAGGGGCCTTTATTAAGGCTTCTGCTGCTGCTGCTGCCTTCTTGCCTAGAGCAGCTGCAGCTGATGATGCCTGTACGTCAATTATAGTACACCGCTGCTGTTGGTGCAGATCTCTCTGCTGCTATTACTGTTACTGCTGCTCTTCCTGTTGCTGCTGGCTTTTATCTTGGCCCGCTTGTTGTTGCTATTGTTGCTGCTGTTGCAGTTGCTGCTGCTGCTGCTGCTGTTGCTGATGCTGTTCTTGCTGCTGCTGTTGCTCTTATCGCCCGTGTAGCTGTTGCTGATGCTGATTTTGCTGATGCTGCTCTCGCTGCTCTTGTTGCTATTGTTGTTGCTGATACCGTTGTTGGCGTTGTTGCTGTTACTGTTGCTGCTGTTGCTGCTGCTGCTACTACTTGTTCTCTTGCTGCTGCTGCACGTTCTGTTGCTGCGGCTGGTCCCGTCGCTGCTTGGCCCTGACCACGGGCGCAGCAGCAAGTATGTGAGGCTATGAATGCGTGTATATATATATATATATATATGTATGTAGTTCTGTGCTGTGCTTGTTTCCTGTTTTTGCTTTCCAGTTGGGTCGGTGTGTCGCGACCCCCCATGGTCCCCTCTGGCCTCTTCTATGTCTCCAGCGGAGACTAGAGAGGAGACACTTGCTGCTGCTGCTGCAGCTGCTGCTGCAGCAGTAGAGGAGCGGCAGAAGGAGACTGCTGCTGCTGAGGGACAGAGTAACAGTGGCCTGCAGAGAGGGAGCGCAGTTGTTCCTGCGAAGCCTTCTGAAATACAGCTGCACAGCGGGGAGTCCAGCAAGAACAGCAGCAGCAGCAGCAGCAGCAGCAACAGCAGTGACAGCAGCAGCAGCAGTGACAGCATTAGCAAGAGGAGCAGCGGCAGAGGCAGCCGCTGCAGCAGCAGCATGCGAATAAGCAGCAACGTGAGCAGCAGGAGCGGATGCATCCCTAGCCGCAGCAGCAGCAGCGGGGGTTTAAGCTGCAGCTGGGATAGCGGTGAGTCTGAAGGCGAAGGAGATGGAGCTAACGAGACACACTGTGTTGGGGGGGCTCTAGGGGTTAGCAGCAGCGAAGTAACATTTAAAGGCATGCGAGCTGCTGCTGGAGATGGCTTCTATAAAACGAAGATGTGCCACTTCTTTCAGAGAGGCCTCTGTATATACGGCCATCGCTGCAGCTACGCTCATGCACTCAGCGAGATAAGACAGCCTTTAAACCTCCGCAAGACACGCCTTTGTGTCTCCTTTAAAAGGGGACAGTGTAATGCAGCAGACTGCAAATTCGCACACGGTCAGGAAGAACTAAGGCCTACCGCCAGTCTCTATAAAACACAGCTCTGTCTTTTCTGGCTTGCAGGCAAATGCGGGTGAGGGAGGCTTAGCTGTATAGAAGGCAGCTGCTGTTGTACAGCGTGCATGCAGAACAGTTGAACGGTTGAAATTCCTTCTTACGCTTTTGTTGCTGTTGCTGCTGCTTCTGCTGCTCCTGCTCTTGAAACTGCTCGTTGTGGTGCCCATTCTGCTGCTTTTCCTTATGCGCGCCCTTCTCCGTGCTTCTTCTGCTACCGCTGTTTCTGCTGTTTCTGCTGGCGTTCCTGGCGTGGCTACTGTGCTCCTGCTTCTGTCCTTAGCTGTTGATTTGAGCCAATGCCTCTCCTCCCACGGAGCCTCTGTGAGCGGAGAGGATTGGCGTGCTCTACTGCTATCTTGTTTTTGTTCTGTCTCCCTCCCTCTCTCTTTTTGTTTGATTTTTCAATCGTTGTTTTTCTTCGTGTCTGCGTGGGTGCGAGCCTGCCCGTGTCTCTGCGGTGATGCATATGGCCGTAGGTTTCGGGGGTATTTGCTGCTTTGTTTGTCTGTCTGCTTGCTTGTTTGCGGCTTGCATTTGATGGTGGTGTTAGTCTGTGCTGTTTGTTTGCTTTTCGTTCGTTCGGTTTTTCGTTCGTCCGTTAGTTCGTTCGTTCGTCTTTTTGGTTGTTGTTTGCTTCAAGCGTTTGTTCGTCTTGTTTGCTCGTCTGTGTGTTCGTTTGTTTTGTTTGCTTGTGTGGCGTTCCCTACGTTGGTGTTTTTGTTTGTTTATGTTGTTGCATGCACAACAGCAACATAAAGCTTCAGTTTTTTCTCTTTCTCTGTTCTTGTTTGTACGTACAGCGCGGGGCGCAGCTGCCGCCACGCCCACGGCGATGACGAGTTGCTGAAGAAGCCGCAGCAATTGGGGGTTTCTTCTTCTTCTTCTTCTTTAGGTTTAGAGAGGGGGAACCCTCGCAATAAACACCTTTACTTGGCTGCAAGAAGAATCCATAAGCCCTCAATGACAACACAGGAAGAAACTTTCAACACAACTTCAACTGCAGGTTCGATTAGAACGGGATAGACGCCACGCAAATCGATCAGCTGCAGCTGCAGCAGCTACATTAGCTGCAACTACTACAGTAGCAGCTGCTGCAGTTGCAGCTGGTGCTGGTGTTGGTGCTGATACTGCTGCTGCTGCTGCTGCTGCTGGTGCTGGTGGTACTGGTACTGCTGCTGGTGCTGCTGCTGCTGCTGCATTAGCTGCTGCTGCTACTGCTGCTGCTGGCACGGTTGATGCTGATGGTCCTCCTGCAGCTCCATTCCCTGCTCCTGCTCCTCGAGCTGCTGCTGCTGCTGCTATTGCTGCCTCACCTTGTACTGGTTCTGCTGCGGTTGCCCCTACTGGTTGAGTTCTTGCTGCTGGTGCAGCTACTGTGCTGCAGCAGGAATAGTAGCTGCGCCTCTCGATAGAAGGTTGTATTAGTTGGGTGCGGGCGTTTATTTAATCTGTTCCTTTTGCTCTCTGCTTTCTTTTTGTATTTGTCTGTGTCTAGATTTGCTAGACAGCAGTTTGGGCTCCTCTGGCAGCACAGCACCCGACGGAGGAGGTAATTCTGGGGAGCTTTTAAGCGTCAACAAGGCTGTTGCTTCTGCTGCTTCTGGTGCTGGTGTTGCTGCCTCTACCACTGGACTCGTGGCAAAAGAGGGAGAGGGTGCCGAGGAGGGAGGTGATGATGCAGAGGCAGCTGGGGTGTCTGTACACCCCAAGAGGACAGAGGCCTCTCAGCAGCAGCAGGAAAGAGTTGAAACAAAGACGGCCGCCAATCGTCCTGCTCGCGAGAAGGGGAAAGAAGAAGCCCGTGGCGTCAGGCGGCGGCAGCAGCCGAAGCTGCAGCAGCAGCGTTATACTCAGCAGCAACAGCAGCAGCAGGATAAGAGGGAACACACCAATGAGGAAGAGCTGGAACTGCAGCTCCAGCATCAGTTGCACGGGCTCCCCACAGTCGCTGCTGCTGCTGCTGCTGCTGCTGCTGCGCTGCCCCCGTATTCTGGGGACAGCAAAGTGAAACAGGATTTATCGTTTTCAGATGCCTCCAATTGCCTTCAGCATTCTCCTCGTAGCGCTGCAGCAGCAGCAGCGGCTGCTGCTGCTGCAGCTGCTGCGGCAGCTTCACCTCTTGCAGGAGCTCATGCGGCACATGAGGACGTGCAGCTGTGGGGCGACGCCTGGGCAGCTTCGAGACCGCTGTGTTATCCTACAGTATCAAACTGGGGGTGGCAAGACTTTTGCTTCTCACCTGCTGCCGCTGCTGCTGCAGCAGCAGCAGCAGACCCGTTGTCTTTAAAGGCATCCGCTTGTGGCTCAGCTGGTCCTCCAGGCCCTCAGGGTCTGGGGGCGGGCGTCGATGTGGCTGAGGGAGGCCCCGGTGCTACTGCTGCTGCTGCTGCAGCGTTCACAGGGCCCTTGAATATGATGCGGCTACCCTTAAGCTGGGCTGTACCAGGGGGCGCCGTTTTCTCAAGAGGTGGGGGAGAGAGGGATCAGCAGTCTTTTGCGAACTGTGCGTCTCACGTTGGTTTGGTATATAGACAGTGCTGTCCTGCGGTGTATCCGCAGCAGTCGTTGGCGTGCGGGTGGCTGGGCTGGCATCAGCAATTGGGGCTCGTGTACTTGTTACAAGGCGCGCAGCAGCAGCAGTTACTGGGGCCCGTAGCAGCAGCTGCGGGGGGTGACACGCACCCACTACACCAGCTGCAGCAGCTGCAGCAGATGCAGCAGATGCAGCAGATGCAGCATATACAGCAGATGCAGCAGCTGCAGCAACTGCAACAACTGCAACAGATGCAGCATCAATTCCTCTTCGACTCGCAAGGAGGCAACGCTCTGGGCCCCAGCGAACCTCCTCCAGAATTCACAGATATGTACAGCCAACACGTGGGATTTTGAGATTTTTTTGCGTGCAAGCGAAACAGCTTGCGCCAAGTGTCTTGAGGTGCATGTACACTGCAAAGGTGGGGTAGAGGCCTCACTCGAGGACCTTTCTCGCGGCTATTTATTCACTTTGGCCTGTGGGCAGCAAAAACAACAGGACCCTCGGGATGCCTAGCAGCAAGGATCTCAGAGGGGTGCATTGATGCCGAGTAGCTGGAGGCATGCTTTTGCATGTTTGGAGTATATGACTATATCAATATATATGTACAATATACAGGTGTATATATATCCATCTATATATACACTTATGTATAAATGTATATGTATGTATGCACATATATATGTATACTTTCTGTGTGGCGCCACCAATACAGTTGCAAAACCTACGGCATTTCAGACAGATGCAGCTGCACGTTTGCATTGAACGGGGCGGCCTTTATTCTTCTTGAGGGGAGTACCGACAGACATGCGAACTTCACGATTCGTCAGTGTACCATGCAGTATAGTGTGTATGTACACATACAAAGATATGCACTTTGCGTGGATTGCAAAGAGGCCGCAGAAGAAATGGGAATTCAGGAATTTAAAGCAGAGTAGAAATACACCTAAAGGGATCACACATGAATGTGCACACACATACACAACACGAACACACAAACAGATGCCGAGAACGTGAGGGAGACCAACAGGTACAAAGTTCCCTTTTGGTTTCTTTTGTTTTTGTCCTACTAAAGACATATATTGCCATTGCGTCTCCTCCACTTTTCTCCCCTTTATTTGCATCCATTTCTTTTCCAGCGTTGACTGAAAAGACTTCTACACCAAACAAAGGAAGCACGTGGGGTAACGCATTTAAAACACACTAACTTAGTTCTGGAGGAGGCCACCATAAGGAAGTGTAAGTAGATTTGCACCGTTCTCAATGTAAAGCAATCACTGAATACTCAAAACGGTCCTAAAAACTCAAGGGGTTTGGGGGAGGGTTCTATAGCAGCAGTAAAAGAGAAGTTTAGGGGAGAGAGGTTTACTGCCAGTTGTTCTGCAGGGCGGCTGGTTGCAGTGAGTTTGAGTTACAGGTTTTCATGGTTGTTAAGGGGAATACGATATACAATGTTTTTCCTTTCAGTTACAGGTAGAGGGGCTGTAATCCGTGTTTTTTCTTGGGTGGGATTTGGTGTGAGTGCTCATTTCGGTGTGAGTGCTCATTTCCTCCCGTTTTTATTTTGTTGCTTATTCACAACGTTGAAAACTTTTAGTTTATTTCTGTCTATCCTTTTTTGCCGCAGTTCATGCTTCACGCTTGGAATATCCTGAAGTGGTGGGACGTTTTTATTGTCTGGGACCCAAGGGTGAGCACATTCGGTGAGTTCGGTATGGCTTAGTATTTTGTTTAGGTGATCAAATGAATCGAAGAATTCAATTTGAATTATTTTGCGTCGTCTTCGGAGGCATTCAATAGCTGTACCGAACAAGGACCCGGCCGGGGAAGTCGCGGGGATGTACTGTTGAGTTCAGTTTGGAACATTATTAAGAAAACAGAAAAAATAAGTATTTTCACCTATTTAAAGAACAAAAAAGCTCGGGAAGCATGAGATTAATTATGATGGCCTTTCTACTGCATAGAACACCCAGCCACCGGACACGGGCAACTAAGATAGGGCGCTGCTAACGGTGTTTTTGAGCGAGAGGAAAACGAAATAAGCAAATTCAATTGATTTAATTAGTTAATTTTGTTTGTAAAGTATTGAAACCCCTCACTTTCGTCCTTAAAGGCGTGTCGAACTCGCACCCCGGCTGCAGTTGGGCGGTCCGGCAGGAAGGCAGTTCCGGGTAAGAGGGCTGACCACTGGTTGCACACGGCGGCAAAAGAAGGAATAAAGCTGAAATAAGAAGGAATTTATTTATTTATTGAAACATATTAGTCTAATTTACTCTTCTTTATTCTCATTTAGGAGAATTAGTGCCTCTATTTTTGATACAGTTCCTGTGGGGTCATCTATCTCGCGCGGTCAGAATATCTGAGAGTATGCAAACGAAAATGCTTTTGGAAACCTCCTTCATCTATTTATTAGTGTTTATTAGATATTTTAATTAAGTTATTTCACCTACGATTTGCTTGCTTAGACCTCCCCTTTGAGTTTCTCCAGTGCATCATTCACTTTCTCCGTCCGGTTTGTGTGTACCGCTTCCCCATTCGTATAGTACATATTATCCTTAAATTCTTTTGTTCTACCACCGACCGAGGAGGGAAGACCCCTTCTTGAAGCAGCAGCGGTTGCTCAGGTCATTTATATCAGCAGGCTTTCCCCGTCTATTCACTGTGGAGTTAAACAAAACAGAGTAAACAACAAAGATGGCGCCACACGGTTCGTACAAACTGCTGAAATGCATTGGCGAAGGTGCTTATGGGCGGGCGTATCTGGCGACGGACACGGAAGGGAACAAGTGCGCTTATTGTTATATTTCTTTTCTCTCTAATGCATATCCCTGAAAACGTTCTTGATCGTACCAACAAGTAAACATGCATTACTCCCAGTGCGTCTTTCATCGTTCTTTTTATGTAATTTGCTTTGCTCATCCTCTTCTTTTGTCCCTTTTTTCTCTAGGGTCGTCGCGAAGGTTATTGACGTCGGCAAGGTACCCCAAAAGGAGAGAGTCGCCTGCATCCAAGAAGTAAAAGTGCGGTTTGTTGTTGTTCTCGTCCTTATTTGTTGTTTGCTGTTTGTTGCTTGTTGTCTGTCGTTGTTGTTATTGTTGTGTTCATTGTTGTTCTTGTTATTTGTTGCTTTTATTGCTGTCGTTGTTGTTGTTATTGCTTTTGTCCTAGTTGTTGCTGCCGCTGTTGTCGTTGGTTCTCAAAACAAACAAAAGTGCTGCATGCTGCTGTTTCATCATAAACTATCTGCCTTCGTTCGTTTGCTCCTCCTGCATGGCCTGTAATGCCTTTTCTGCTTTTTTATTGAACATTTATCTGCTGACTTTCATATTGTCACATATCTTCACTGTAAAGGATTATTCAAACTCCATACACCATTGGTGAGCGCAGCGAGAGGGGAAGAAAAGTGCGTGAACTATCGGTTATTAAACGCAAATGCCGTCGCTAAAGAAATACCGAACCCCTCCTCAGCTATCTATCTCCTGCTTTGCCTGCGGCCTTGAGGTGTTGTAAACACTGTGGAGATAATCTTTATATATATATATATATATATGTATATATATATAGATAGATAGATATATCTGCATTCATATG